GATACAGGAAAGAGTAGGAAATACTCTGGAGTTAGTAGGTATAGGTAAGAACTTTCTCAATGAAACCCCAGCAGCACAGCAACTAAGAGATAGCATAGATAAATGGGACCTCATAAAACTAAAAAGCTTCTGTTCATCAAAAGAAATGGTCTCTAAACTGAAGAGAACACCCACAGAGTGGGAGAAAATATTTGCCAACTATACATCAGACAAAGGACTGATAACCAGAATATATAGGGAACTTAAAAAACTAAATTCTCCCAAAACTAATGAACCAATAAAGAAATGGGCAAGTGAACTAAACAGAACTTTCTCAAAAGAAGAAATTCAAATGGCCAAAAAACACATGAAAAAATGCTCACCATCTCTAGCAATAAAGGAAATGCAAATTAAAACCACACTAAGATTCCACCTCACCCCTGTTAGAATAGCCATCATTAGCAACACCACCAACAACAGGTGTTGGCGAGGATGCGGGGAAAAAGGAACCCTCTTACACTGTTGGTGGGAATGTAAACTAGTACAACCACTCTGGAAAAAAATTTGGAGGCTACTTAAAAAGCTAACATTGATCTACCATTTGATCCAGCAATACCACTCTTGGGGATATACCCAAAAGACTGTGACACAGGTTACTCCAGAGGCACCTGCACACCCATGTTTATTGTGGCACTATTCACAATAGCCAAGTTATGGAAACAGCCAAGATGCCCCACCACTGACGAATGGATTAAGAAAATGTGGTATCTATACACAATGGAATTTTATGCAGCCATGAAGAAGAACGAAATGTTATCATTCGCTGGTAAATGGATGGAAATGAAGAACATCATTCTGAGTGAGGTTAACCTGGCCCAAAAGACCAAAAATCGTATGTTCTCCCTCATATGTGGACATTAGATCAAGGGCAAACACAACAAGGGGATTCGACTTTGAGCACATGATAAAAGCGAGAGCACACAAGGGAGGGGTGAGGATAGGTAAGACACCTAAAAAATTAGCTAGCATTTGTTGCCCTCAACGCAGAGAAAGTAAAGCAGATACCTTAAAAGCAACTGAGGCCAATAGGAAAAGTGTACCAGGAACTAGAGAAAAGGTTAGATCAAAAAGAATTAACCTAGAAGGTAACACACACGCACAGGAAATCAATGTGAGTCAATGCCCTGTATAGCTATCCTTATCTCAACCAGCAAAACCTTTTGTTCCTTCCTATTATTGCTTATACTCTCTCTACAACACAATTAGAAATAAGGGCAAAATAGTTTCTGCTGGATATTGAGGGGGTGGGGGGGAGAGGGAGGGGGCAGAGTGGGTGGTAAGGGAGTGGGTGAGGGCAGTGGGGAGAAATGACCCAAGCCTTGTATGCACATATGAGTAATAAAAGAAAAAAAAAAATAAAACCTTGGTTTGAGTGGGTGTACCACAGTTATGTGACCGACAATTTTTTAATATCTTGATGTTTCAGTTTCATCAATAAAATGAAAATAACCATATATATTCTATATAGTTCTCACAAGAACTACACAAATGAATATGTAAAGACCTAAATAGTACTTAGTGTATTGTAAGTACAAAATAAATGTTTTCTATTATTGGTACTTGGAGAGGACCAAAGTTAATGAGAAATGACTTTTTTTCTTTTTTATGAGGTTGAACATTATACTAAATAGTACTTTAAAAATAGTATAAATGCTCTTTACAGATTTTCAAACTTTAGAAGTTCTGAAATTGTTACATTAAAGCATAATTTTAATATTTTATTTTTCTTAGATGCTATTCTAGATCACATGTAAACCTCAGACAATACCAGCAGGAAATAGGTCACAAAATAGGATAGGGATCGTTTAAGTATGTCTTCCCTTTATTTTACAAAAATTTATGTGAAGATATTACAATGAATTAAGAAATGTGGGTTCTTCATACAAAAATGATTAGTTTGTTATAGAATTGGAAAAGTTTGTACTTTTCTGGAATTAATAATTTATTAGCTTAGAGGAGGGTTGTGCAAACCCTGTAACATACTCTTCTTTCTTTTTGTTTTATTTTTAAGTCAGTTTCGCTATGTATCCCAGGTTGGCCTTAAACTTGTGATCCTCCTACCTCAGCCTCCCAGGTGCTGAGATTACAGGCATGAACCACCGTGCCCAACATCTGCAACATATTCTTATTTGGAGTGTTCCAAAAAATAAAACTATCCAAAATACACAGGAGCTTGTTTGAAAATCTGCAATAGTATGAGCACCCAAATAACAATACAACAAATTAAATAAAATAGAAATCCAGTAGTTTATACTGATATTAAATTTAAAAAACCAATTTAAGATAAAAAAGAATAACTGAGTGAATGGACAAGTGAATAAATAAACGTAGAAGGGAAAGTTCTTATACTAAAGTGCCAATTAATAATTAAAAAATAGACTAGAGTCACAAAATAACCATTTTAGGTATCATTTTGTGTTAACAGTAATTATTGATTCAGGCAGGAATCATAAATGGATATAAAACTACTATGTCAAAATTTGTTATAAAATAGGTTTATTTACATAGTTTTAAAGAATCTTCCCACATATAACCTATGAATTAAAAAAATCAATGAGAAGATGACACAAAAAAACACACTGAAAACTGATGAACAATTTGTAGGGTAGGGAGAAAAGGAAGAATAATGGAGTGGACTGGTCTGATTAAAGGGCAATATATCTATAGAAAAATACCAAGGCAAAACCCCACTGAACAATAAACAGACAATGGAGGACCAGAATGTAGAACAGGTAATGTTAAAGGAGGATACCAGCAGGAGGGGGAAGGTAAACGAAGTGGGTAAAGGTAGTGAATGTGGTTGAAGTACTTTCTACACATGTATGAGTATGGAACACCAAAACCTATCAAAGTCATTTTAAGAAGGGGAATAGGGAAGGAGGGAGAACAATGGAGAGGATAAACCAAATGGGAACAATATATGTATACATGGAAACGTCACAAAAAAACCTCCATACAAGTATTATAAACTAATAATAGTTTTAAATAGTTTTTTTTTTAAAATAGACAATGGTAGGGATGGGAGCATAGCTCAAGTGATAGAGCACGTGGCTACCAAGCATGACATCCTGAGTTCATATCCCAGTACCACCAGAGCCCCCCCAAATCAAAACAATACACACCCTCTCCCACCCAAAAATGGGCATGCTGCTAGTGGTTCATGCCTATAATCCTAGCTACTTGCGAGGCTGAAGAAGATGGAGATTCAAGGTCCACTAAGGCCAAAAGTTTATGAGACCCCAATTTCACACAACAGCTGGGCACAGTGACTCATGCCTATCATCACAGTGATGGCTGGAGGCTGAGCTCTGTGGTTCCAGGCCAGCCTTGGCAAAGAAAAAAAAAATTTGTGAGACTTCATCTCAATGGGAAAGAGCTGGGTGTGGTAGCACGTGCCTGTCATCCCAGTAACAGCAGGAAACATAAAGTAGGAGGAACATGATCCAGGCTGGCCTGGAAAAAAAGCTAGAACCCATCTCCAAAATAGCAAGAGGAAAAAGGGCTGGTGTGGCTCAAGCCTAGCAAGGATGAAGTCCTTGAGAAAATGATAAAAGCAAAAAAGGAATACCTTTTGTGTCTCATTCCTTTCAAATCTGAAGCACAGTTTGAAGCTATAAGTAAAATTATATATATTTAGACTACTGAAAAATAAGGTGAAGAGAGGATGGGAAACTAAAGTGCCAGTAATAAATGAAGAAAAATAACAGGGTCACATATGTGGTCTGTTTCCATATGCCATAATAAAAATATTTAATATAACCAAGAACATTTAGTTTATTAAGAGTGGCTGATACATTAAGCAGGGATCAAGGAAACAATGTTACATACTTTTTCAGTTTTTCTTTTGTTTTGGTTCTGGAGTTCTAACCCAAGGCCTTGTACATGCTAGGCAAATGTACTGCTACTGAGTATGTCCAGCCTTGTTAGGAAATTAAAAAGAATTAAAATCATAGCCAGGGTTGGTGGTGTATAGCACTTACAAGGCTAAGGAAGGAGCATGGTGAGTTTGAGGTCAACCTGGGTTATATAGTAAGACCTTGCTTCAAAAAGTAAAACAAGAATTAGTCAGAGCAAAAATAAAGCACTGTTTCTGCGATGTACTCTTTTTTTTTCTTTTGAGATGATGGTCTCATTATGTTGCCTAGGTTGACCTTGAACTCCTGGGTACAAAGACTCTCTACAGCAGCCTCCCAAATTGTTGGGATGACAGGCTTCAGAGGCATACCTGGTTTCTGTGATTGACTTTTAATATGAAATGACCATTTTGTCAATCTGTTGAAATTCTTTTTGCTTTAGAATGAAGTATCACCTAAACATTTCATATTACTAAATGGGAATGAATGAGATAACCCTTAAAAATCATTCAAACCTAACTGTGAGGTTGGTAATTTGGGCTCATTAGTGTCTGCATTATACAAAATTACTTTTTTCTTTCTGATACAGAATTAAAACAAATTATTCCTCAAACTAGGCAAAGTCTGTCAAATGCCTGTCCCACTCATTCCAACTTATATGTGAATATAAAAAGTTCTAAAATCTCCTAAGGCTCCCATACTGTTTTAATTATCGGTCTACAACAAAAGCTACGCCACGCCTAAGGCCTGAAGTCATCAGAACCTAAAACAGGGCCAAAAATAATCACGATCAGAAATGTTACATTACATAATGAATTAATTAAAAGTTGTGAAATTGCTATGATAGTAATTAATGGCATTTTTTCCTAAAAGAACAATGTTTATCTTAACATTAAAAGACACATTATAGGAGAAGTTACCTATTTTATCCTGCTCTAACACAGATGAATTTATGATACTGTCTTCAGTAATACTCAATCACTGGGGCAATAATTCTCAAAGAAGGTGGCTGAATTAAAGGGTCAGCAACTACTTTCTATGAAAGGCTTTAGAAAAATCTCTGATTTCAGAGAAGTTTATTTTTCTAAAAGACAGATAAATTCCTACCTGTTCTGGCATAGCTCCATGTTCAATTCCAGTCTTCAATAATCTATAGCAATTGCCAAACAGATCCCATTTTGTGAGATCGTGAGCACTAAAATAAACAAAAGATGAGTTAACTTTATTCTAGAGTGGAAGAAAATTTAAATTTGACCTCAATTTCAGTAAGTGAAAGAATAAAATAACTTCATTTTCTTATAGAACTGAAAAAAGATCCATAAAGGGAATAATCAAGTGTGAAAGAGAAAGAGAGGGAAAGCAAGAGGAGGGGAGGGAAGGTAGAAGAAGGGAGAGAGAGAAGAAATAGTTTTAAAAAATTTATGCTCTGAATTCATTAAAGAAATCAAAAACAAAACTTCACACATTTAACTCAAAATTTTTCACACATGGTTAACCTTAGCATGTATTCTTTTTAAAGAATGTTTTAAAATACAATTTAAACAAATCCACTCACAATTTTAAAATATATAACCACATGTGTATTCTGAAAGAGAGATCTGTAGTCATGAAATGGAAATGAAGACAAACTAGGGGAAAGGAAATGTGGGAAAGCTCAAACACTGTGGCATCACTGTTTATATGACCTAAAGACTTCTGAATGAGACAATGGATGCTATTTAAAATTCTCATGAACTCTACTACTAAACTAGTTTTGACACTAGCTACGGTTTTTTACCATCAATTGACAGTATCATCCAATGACAAATGCCTCCTGTGTAGCTTGGGATAACAGGCATGCTCTACCACGCCCAGTTCATTGAGATGGGGGTTTCACTAACTTTTTTGCCAAGGCTCACCTCTAATCACGATCCTCCTGATCTCTGCCTTCCAAATAGCTGGAATTATAGGCTTTAGTCATCATGCCCACTTCAAAATATTAATTTATTCTTTTAGGCAGTACTGGGGTTTAAACTTAGGGCCATGTACTTACTAGGTAGGTGCTCTACCACTTGCCTCCAGCCCTTTTTTGCTTTAGTTCTTTTTCAGAGAGGGTCATATGCTTTTGCCTGGGCTGGCCTTGGACCATTATCCTATCTACAGCCTCCGTACATACCTAGGACCACATGTGCATGCCACCATACCCAGATTATTGATTGAAATGGGGTCTCCCTAACTTTTTGCCCAGGCTGGTCTCGAACTGTAAGCCTTCAGGATCTCTGCCTCCCTCAAATATTTTTTAAAATAATTCTTTACTTCTCCATGGCATGCCAAAAAAATTACTGTATGTTAAAAAAAAGGCTTAGATTCCTTCCTCCCTCCGTCCTTCATTCACCCATCCATCTATTCTTTGAGACAGGGTCTTGCAATGCTGCCCAGATGGGCTTCAATCTCTTGGGCTCATTCTGTCTTAACTTGCCAAGAAGCTGAAATTCAGAAAAACTCTACCACATCCAGCTAAAAACTTAGATTTTTGAAACTTCTTTTGAAATGTGAAGCAGTCATTAAAGAGTTACAACCAAACTTTTTTTTTTTTTTTTTTTTTTTGGGCAGTACTGGGGTTTGAATTCATGGCCTCACACTTGTTAGGCAGGGGCCCTGTAACAAGAGTCACTCAACCAGCCCTCCAAACTTTCTTTTGACAACAAAGTTCTGTTTTCCTTTCTACATGGAGAAGATACATATATTTCATTACAAAGAATACATACAAATTACAAATTATTTTTTATGGAGGTACTAGGGTTTAAACTCAGGCCTTCATGCTTGCTAGGCAGGTGCTCTTACCACTTGAGCCATTCTGCCAGCCCTTTTTTTGTGATGGATATTTTGGGAAGAGGGTCTCTTGAGCTATTTGCCTGGGGCTGCCTTTGAGCTGAGATCCTCCTGATCTCTGCTTCCAGAGTAGCTCCTAATCAGGAATGAGCCACTGGTACAAATTAAGATTTGAAAACACACATTTATCTGAGCCTTTGTTCCTTATTCAAATCCAACTGTTCTGTTTATATAGTAAGAACACAGTAATAACCAATAAACCAAGAACAATTCAGGAAAAAGGGGACCAGAATAACTTCTATAACTTTCCCCAAAATCCTACTCTTTTTTTAAAAACAGACTTATTTAAGTTGAATAATAAAAATGTATTGTTTATATTTATCATGTGTATGTTGTTTTGAATTATGCAAAGATTGTAGAATGGCTACCTAAAAACTACAGTTAATTAACATGTAAGTTATACTTCGCATATTGTTATTTTTGTGGTGAGAACATTTAAAATCTACTCTCAGCAATTTTCAGAAATATAATACACTGCTATGACTATAGTCACTGTTGTACAATAGACCTTTTGGACTTATTTCTCCTATCTAACTGAAATTTGCATCCTTATACCATTCCCCATCAATCTTAGCCATTGATTGAACATTATACCTATAAAAATCTAGTTTATAAAATCAACTCATTTAATTTGTTAAACAGTGATTGATTTATTAAATTTTTATAACATATTCAGCACATTTATTACATCAAATGTTAAATTTTCATTAGATTAGTAAATCTCATACCTTAAATAATTAAAAATATAAGAAAATCTAATCTGAAGAAAATGTGAATAAAAAAAAAACACCGTATCTCAATATTTCTCTAAAATTTCTCACTGTTATATGAATGCCAAACATCATGGTCTGTGTATGTTGGTATCTACTTTAAATAAATGACGTACTTGTGGAAAGAAGTTAACCGTTTTAAGGTAGAAAGAACATTGTAAATATCATCGTCATCAGCTTCTTCACCCTATAAATAAAAAACATAAAGATCACATCATTATCAAAACTTCAAATTCACATTAGAGTCTATTAATACTTAACTGCCTAAAGAAAAATTCATTATAAAAATAGTATGAATTCACTGTGGATACACGTACAAATAAGAAAAAACCCTAGTAATCCGACACCTAGAGATACTCAATTTTGCATTTTAAGTAATGTGATAAACATGACTTTGTACACTTTTCTAATTAATACTGTACAACAAATTCCTTGAAATTGCTGAGTGAAAGAGCACTTTAGTATTTTTGTTTTGTTTTGTTTTGTTGGTGGTTCTGGGAATTGAACCCAAGACCTCATGTAGAAATATCCTACCAGTGAACCAGAAAACATCCTATTCTGTAAGGGCGTTAATCGTTAATGATGATTTCAAAGATTTTAATGACTGCCAGTTACTTCTGTAGTTTGAAAATTACAGTGAAAAAAATCACAAATAAGGTTTGACAAAAATGAAAAGCTCAAATAGTATGACTGTCAGGGCATAAATTAAGGGAATTACAAATTGTCTTAGAATAGATTAAGAAGAAAAGGTAAGAGGCAACTTCTTAAGCACATTTAATTTGCATGGTCTTTTTACCAACACATCATAGTAATTTAGTTATTATTAAAATACAAAATAGATCTCAGGAACTAGAAACAAAATGTTTCTAAGAAAAGCAAATCTTAGATTCTTCTTGGGAAGGGAGGGCACAATATTGGTGTTTGAACTCATAGCCTTGCACTTGCGAGGCAAGTACTCTACAGGTTGAACTAAACTCCCAGCCCTTTTTGCTTTAGTTTATTTTTCAGATAGGATTTCATGTTTTATGCTTGGGGACTGAGGTCCTCTTCCATTTCCACCTCCTCAGTACCTGAGATTACAGATGTGTGGCACCATGCCCAGCTTGTTTTTGAGATAAGATCTCACAACATTTTTTTTTTGCCTCAGCTGGTCTTGAACAGAGATCCTCCCATCTCTGTTTTCTGTGTAGCAGGGATTAATACTTTTATTTTTAAAACAGGGAAAAAAACCTAGCATAAAAATAAAATAAAATTATGGTTGATCTTTAGAGGATGCACCACTGCAAAAATGCTAACTTTTAATATACACTATTTTATTATTGTTTTAATATAATTATATATTATGTAATATTCAATTTATATATAACAAAAACCATAATTGTATCATACTTAGTATTACTTTTCAAATTTTATTTTAAAACAGAATGATTTTTACATTCAGCTATTTTGAATAACTGTTACCTCAAATTATTGTATAACAAATAACTTTAGAACAGACCTCTTGCAATAGGTCTTCCACAGAATGATTGAATCGATCTACAAACTCATCTATCAGCTGGCTCCGAGCTATGTCGACTCTGTTCTGGATGGTATACTCTTCACTGCATAAGATGCTATAGGTTTTACTGCAGGCTTCTAGAACATCTGATTCTACATGTTTCTCCACCACAAACTTAATCTGTTTTAATAATGCATCCAGATGCTGAGGAGAAAAAACAAAAACTGTGATATTTACATTAATAAGGAAAAATAACAAATAGCCCCTCAAATAACAGGTAAGTCCCTGTGATTAAACAAAAATGGACTAATTCAGTTAACAACAGTATTTTAGCAGCTGAATTTCAATTTCATAGTGTCTCACCTTCTCCATTCTACCTGTGCTGTAGATTTCCAGATCAAAATACTGTGGAATCTGTAGCAAGTTTGCTACCTTCTCTGCATCTGCAGAATACTAGAGGGAGAAGCAGCAAAGAAAAAAAAGCAGTAATTACTTTAATAGTGCAGTGAAATCAAATTCAGTAGCATACTATAACAAAACTATAAATGACACTATACCTTTGATAGTAACATAGGAAGTGTGATAATAAAATGCTCAGTCAATTTGTTCCTATCATCAATTTGAGTTTTCCTTTCTTTGGCAGTTAGCACCTAGAAATAAATCAAAATGTCATATGCTAATTTATAAATCTAAAATGTTACACAGAATGAAGCACTGACAAAGGATATAACTCAAAGTATTCAGATTTTCATTAGTACACTAATTATGAAATAATCTGTTTGTATTCAAATTTATTTAACATTCATTATTACTTATTTCATGGCTAGAGGTTAGGTAAATTACCTGTTGTTTAACTTAAATAAAAATATAAACGTTTCTATAAAGCTGTAATTTTGAACATAACAATGGAAGAAATCAAAGAATAGTATTTCAGCCAGGCACAGGGATTCCTATAATCCCAGAACCTGGGGGGTTGAGGCTGGAGGATCATGAGTTTGAGGACAGGCTGTGCTATACAGGCATACCCTATCTCAAAACAAAACAACAACCTTCTCAAAAAAAAAAAAAAAAAATCAAAAATCTTTACTAGAGTTTTTATATCAATTTAAGAGTGATCTCCCCTGTATTGAATACACAAACTTTTTTAAACAATGCTTTTTAAATACCACCATAATGTAATAAATTTTCATGTATTTTTTAAGCATATACTAATGACATCTCTGGATCCATTCATAATTGAATCTCCTTGTAACTAAGCTACTAAAGCTCACTCCAAAAATAAAATATTGAAGTGTGAGCTGTGTTTAAGATACTCATTTCCCTAAAGTATTTTGTATTTTGTTATCATCCTGAAGGGATTTGCCAACATAATGTTGAATGGTTTTATGGACAATAAATATTCTAATATAAACCAATACTTTATAAATGAGAACCCTGATGTTTAAGAATATGTAAAAGAAGATGCCTCTTGTCTAATTGTTTTATACACTTCAGAGGCATAACAATAATCACTGGAATCATCTATCAACTAGTGCGTTTAATTTTACACAAAGAACAAAGGAACTACACATAAAGTATAGTCCTACACATATGTTTAGGATATTTTCAGGATATGAAGAAGTCTTGAGAGTCATCTGACAATGTATGAAAGGCCAAAGGATACTAGTTTTAGGGAAATAGCTATTTTTGCTTAAGGGATCATTATGTCAGGCATTCTACATACAGGAACTCATCTAGTCCTCATAATACCTCTGATGAGACAGCAGAAATGGCATGACACCTATGCAGAAGGAGTTTACCACCTTCTAACAGAATTGTATGCATATTTTCTTGACCAAGCAATCCCATTTTTAGTAATCCACCCCAGATACACTCCTAATACAAGTATGAAATGACATATGAACAAGATTGTTCACTATGTATTATTTCTAGTAGCAAAAAACTAGTAACAGTCAAAAAGACTGTCCATATGTGACTTGCAGGAGAGTGTCCAGTATGTGGATAGTATACAGCCACAAGAAAATGAAGACAGCCAAATAATGACACACAGTGATATCTAAGATACACTAGAAAGTACAAAAAGAAACGTGCAAACAGTGCATAAAGTACGCTATCTTTTGTGACAAACTAGTAGGAGGGGAAGAATGGGGAATAAGAACACATGTAACTGCGTATGTGCATGCATTTATCTATATTGTCAAAATACACACCCTGAAGGGGAAACTAGAAACAAAACTAGTTACTGGTAAGAATGTGGTATAGAATGAAGTATGTAAGTAAGAATTCTCTGGCTGTATCTTTTTATATGATATTTAATTATGCTTTACTTATTTCAAAAAATTAAAAGTAGAAAAATACTTATAAAATCAAACAGTTAAAATGGCTAAATTTGAATCACAATAATGAATGCATTTTAATATGTGTATATTTGGAAGTATATGTATTTCTAATTTCATTCTATTAAAATTGCATAGTAGAAATGCTAACCTATTTATAATAAATATACTTAGTATCAAGATTTTGATTTTTTTTTTTTAAAGACTTTGATCTTTACCACTCTCAATTAAAAGGAACACAGCTCACTGGAGAAACGGCTGACTCTTGTGCTAGGGTGGTGTGGAACCCATACTTTCAGATGACCCCTTAAGGTCCTTACTCCTTGATACTCATACCATATACAGTCTTTTCCTATAATGAATTAGGATGACTTGTATAATCAATAGGATGTTCTAGAAATGATAGTGTGAATTTTTTAATAAAATTTTGAAGTACTGCTAATCAAAATCAGGGCCTAGTGTGAAGTGCCCTACCGCTGAGATACAGCCCAAACATTGTATTACTTGATTTTTGAGGCTTAGGTCATAATAAACAAGGTATAAGCCTTATGATCTATTCAATCATTCTGGGGGAGATGAGTCATGTCATGAAAACACTCAAATGGTCCTAAGCAGAGGTACATATGGAGAGGGTCTAAGATACCTATCAACAATCTGTATTACCTTGCCAGCCATGTCAGTGAGCCATTGTAAGCCGCTAACATCTTCCAAAAATAACAGCTAAGCCATTAATAAATTTCTGACCCATGAAATCTGTGCAAAATAATGGTTATTTTTTTAAGCTTCTAAATTTTGGAGTGCTTTGTTACATAGCAACTGATAACTTTTGTTATACAACATCAGGTAACTATTCAAGCAGTAAACACAAAAAATCAATCTAGGGCAGTTTGTTCTGAAAAACAGCAAGAAAGTACTCAAAAATGGTAAGATTTGTGGAAGAACTAGAAATTACCCTGAAGAAGCTATCTTTAGTCAAAGTTGGGACAATTTGTATTTTTAAGACTTTTTTCTGTTTTTGGTGGCACTGGGGTTTAGCTGGCACTCTATCACTTGAGCCACATCTCCAGTTCATTTTTGTTTTAGTTGTTTTGGAGATGGGGTTTCATGAAATATTTTCCCAGGCTGGCCTTGAACTGTAATCCACCTGATCTCAGCCTCCCAAGTAGCTCGGACTACAGATGTGAACCACTGGTACTCTGCCTTTTTAAGACTTTAATTATTAAAAACATCAAAAACATTCATGAAAAGAGCAACAACCATTAGTAGTCTGTTATTCTTATTTAATCAATTCTGAGCTTTTTTAACATAAATAAAAGTATAAAAATTTAAATATATTTACCACAGCAAATATAGCATTTTAAGGCAAATCTTTGTCTATAATTTTATTCTTAAAACATTTAAATGTATGTCTAGTAACATATAAGGACTTAAATAAAACTATCTCCAATGAAATAATAATTCATCAATATTTCAAACAGCCAATGGTTTTCTCAAAAGCTGATTTTTTTTTGTTGTTGTTAGAAGTTTAGCAAAGAATTACTTAGCAAAACAGGATAAAGTAGGGAGAAATAAAAAAGGGAAAGAGGAGTACCTCCTGCCTGACATGCAGAAAGTAGAAGCAAAGAGACTCAAAAGTTGATTTTTAATAGTTTGTTCAAAAAAGGACCCAGGCCGGGTGCCCGTGGCTCACGTCTGTAATCCTATCTACTCAATCAGGAGGATTGAGGTCCAAGGACAGCCCAGGCAAATAGTTTGAGAGACCCTGATTTCTAAAAAAAACCCTATCACACACTTAAAAAAAAAGGGTTGGTGGAGTGGCTCAAGGTATAGCCCCTGAGTTCAAGCCCCAGTACCACAAAAATAAAACCAAGTAAGAATCTAATCAATTACATTTGGCTGGCACGTTCCAACATGTTTCAGATCAATTTATTCATTATGAAGTTACTCATCAGATTTTCAAGTAATCATAAGCCATACATCATTGTTTTGTTTTGTTTTAAAGATACAGTCTCGTTTTACAGTCCAGGCTAGCCTTGTACTTCAGATGTAGTTCAGGCTGACCTCAAACTTGTGATCCTCATGCCTAAACATCCTGAGTGTGTACTGCCACATCCAGCTTTTTTTGTTTATTTGTTTTTTGAGACAGGATCTTGCTACATAGCACAGGCTCATTTCAAACTCACTATGAAGTTCAGGCTAGCCTCAAATTCGAAATCCTCTGGCACCAGCTTCCTTCATACTAAGATTACAGGTATGAGCCACAAGCCCAGCTGTTTTTTAAATTTCTTTCATTATTCCTTTTCCAAATTTTGAATTTGGCTAATTGGACTCCTAAAGTTATATTCTTCTATCTCTATGTTTTCTTCTTTCTCCCCCACCCCATTTTTATCAGGATATATTCATTGTACAGGAGGGATTCATGGTGACAACTGCAAATACATCCCTGTGTTTTCTTGAAAACTGGTAGTTAGGCACTGGAAGCTTGATTACATTCAGATTCTTCCCTGCTGCCTCCCCTCACCTAGCCCAAGAACATTTCAAAGGTGGCCATTTCCTGTCTCGCTTTCAGTGGTGTTAAGTTTAATCAGTGGGTTCAAGTGCTCTCAGATCATTGTGAATATACTCATCAGCTCTTGATGTAATCACAAGCCACTGATTTCTGTCTAAAATCATTACTTCATTTGGTTGACAAAAAGTAACATTCTAATTCTATCATTTGTCCAATTATTATACTGATACTTCTACTGAAAAAAAAAGCCTTAGTTATTACTAGTATAGGAAAATTAAACATCACTTGACTTTCTGATATAATGTAATATGAAGCATAAAATATTGTTTTTGCTAAAAATCTGATCTGATCTAAAAAGCAAGCCTTTAGAATTTTCAGGCTACAGAAAATCTATGAAGGAGAGAAAAATTAAAAAGTGATATGAAGTATCAGTAATAGAAACCAAAAGGAAAAGATCGTTTTGTCTAGTTGTTCTCAACTGAGAGAGGAATATTAATATTTCAAACTATAAATGTTGAAGCATTTGCTTTCCATTTGAAATCTCCCAGTTCTTGGATAATGTATTTTGGGACTCTGTTGCTAGGTATCTGTGTGTGTATAATTGTTATATCTCTCCAATGTATCAATCTCTTTATCTCTATAAAATGTCTTTTTTACTGTTTTTAGTACCACTGTCTGTCTTAAAGTCTATTTGTCTATTAATAACCCCTGCAGCATGCTTATGGTTACTCATTGCGTAGTGTCTTTTTGCCATCCTTTTACATTCGATATTATTTAAATCTTTAAATGTAATCCAGTCTTGACAGTCTCTACATTTTGATTGGAATCATTCCCTAAAGTCTCATTCAATATAATTTTTGATATGATTGAAAATTTTCTTGAAAATTTGATATAATTAGCCATTTTATATTTATCTTTTGTCTCATGTCTTTTGTCTCTCCTTCAGTCTTTATTTGGAGCCAAATGTTTATTATGATTCTTCTTCATATTTTTATTTTTAGCTATGAGTGATTGCTCTGGGATTATAACATACAAGCTTTACATTCAATTGACTACAGGTTGATACTGACATGTTTATTGCAAAATATGGCTTTGCTCCAACAGACTTTACGTCATTTTCCCTTTTTTTGTGCTATTCTTGTTACATATATTATTTCTATGTTATCGGCTCAACACAACAGCACTATAATTATTCATTTAAATAATATCATGTCCTATTAATTAAGAGAAAAAAAGAAAAAAATACATATACATATAGCCTTTTATATTTATCTATGGATTAGAGTTACCATCTGGTGATCTTACAGCTTTAAAGACCTGGCCTTCTAGCAACATTGTCTCTCAATCTTTGTTTTCTGTTTCTCTAGAATTAGTTTTCTTACATCTTCATTTCTGAAAGATAATTTTAATGGGTTTAAAATTCTTGGTTGTCAATTTTGCTTAATCTTTGGACTCTCCTGTTGCTGATAAGGAGTCAAAAGGTAGTTGCCCTCTTGCTGTGCCGCTTTGAAGACTTTAGTTTTGCCTTTCAACACTGTGACTATGCTGCACCACGTGTGTTTTTCCTGGAACTTCTGTAACACATATTTAGATTCACTTGATGTTGTTCCACACATTTCTGAGGCGTTGTTCATCTTTAAATGTTTTTCCTCTTTGTTTCTCAGAATGCATAATTCCTAGTAATCTTCATGTTCACTATTTCTTCTGTCATCCTACTGTGGTTTGTTTGAATCTTAACTGAACTCCAAAAGCTCACATGTTGATGGCTTAGTTACTATTAATAGTGCTCCTGGAAAATGGTGGAGGTGGGTCATTTGGGGATATGCCATTGAAGAGTATACTGAGACCTTACCCCCTCTTCTCTTTCTGCTCTCTAGCCATCTTAAGCTAAACAGACCTCTACCACACCCTCCCTCCATAATGCTCTGCCTTGCCACAAGTCCAAAAGCAGCATGGACTGAAATTTCTGAAAACTATGAGCAAAAATACATCTTTCATTCTTGTAAGTCATTTGTCTCAGGTATTTTGTCACAGTAACAAAAGACTGAATAATACAAATCTGCTACTGAAATCCTGCAGTGAACTTTAAATTTCTGCATTATACTTTTCAACTCCGGAATTTCTTTTCCTTTTTTTTTTTTTTTTTTTTTTTTTTGAGGTACTGGGGATGGATAGGGTTTCACATTTTTGCCCAGGGCTGGCCTTAGACTGAGATCTTCCTACTTATGGCTCTGACATAGCTGGGGTTATGGATGTGTACCACTGTGCCCAGCTTGTTGGTTCAGATGGGGTTTTTTGCTAACTTTTAAGCATGAGCTAGTCTGGATTCACAATCTCTCCAATCTTTACATCCCAAGTGGCTGGGATTACAGAGTAGAATCCCATCCCTCATTTGACTTTTGATTACTGAGATTTTCTTTTTTTTTTTTTCCCCATGCAATTCTTTGAACATATTTTCCCTTAGTTATTTGGATGTATTTATTAAAAGAACCCTTAAGATTTTTTCTTAGTTTCAGAACTAAATAAGAAACCTTTTGCAATTGCTTTAAGTAGGACAGGGAGGGGGCTGAAGGGGAGAAAAAAAGGGGCCAATGTAACTAATGTACAATGTAAGTCTAATTGGAGTTGTCACTATGAATCCCCCCGTATAATGAATATATCCTAATAAAAAAATTATTAAAAAAAAGAATTTGAGTTAAAATAGATCAAAGAGAAAAAAAAGATTTTTTTCTGCTAAATACAAAACCTAGGTCTAACTGAGAAGACATTTCTATTGTTTTCTTTTTCCTCTGAGAAGAGTTACTGTTACTTTGCATGACTGTAATTTTTCTTATAAAGTACACATTTAACTGGGCACCAGTGGTTCACACCTACAATCCCAGCTACTCAGGAGGCAGAAATCAGGAGGACAGAGGTTTGAAGCCAGCCTGAGCAAATAGTTCCTGAGACCCTATCTCCAAAATTGCCAGAGCAAAATGGACTGAAAGTGTGGCTGAAGCAGTAGAGCACCTGCCTAGCAAGTGTGAGGCCCTGAGTTCAAACTCCAGTCCCACCAAAAAAACTCAAAAAAACCCCCACATTTTTACATGATATAGTAACTACAGATTTTTAACTTAAATAAGAGGTGTTTATTGTAAACCTAGAAATGAAGGCTGCACACCTACTACTTTTACCTATAAATTTATCACATGTAAAAAAATTTTTTTCTTTTTTTGGGGCAGTGCTAGGGATTGAACTCAGAGTCTCAAGTTTGCTAGGAAATTAGTCACTTGAGCCTCACTTCCAGTCCTTCTGCTTTTTAGATAGTGTCACAGTCTTGCCTGGGTTAGCCTCAGATCACTATTCTCCTACATGTGTATCTCCCATGTGTGGAACAACAGGCATGTATCACTATGCCTGGCTTGGTTTTCAGACAGGGTTTTGCCAATTCTTGCCTGGGATGGTTCTGAACTGCAATCTTCCTATTTCACATCCTGAGTAGGTGAGGATTACAGATTTGCACCACCATTCCCATCAACTTTATCTTTTTTGTTTTCTTTTTCAGTGCTGAGGATCTAGGCAGGTACTCACTTCTGAGCTATATCATAAGCTCCAAATTTATGAAGTTTTTAAAGAAAAAATACTTCTGAACTTATTTTTATCTTTGAAGTTCAGATGTATTTGATAAAATTTTTAATTTTAAACTTTTTTGTGGTGGTGGTGGTTGTTGTTGTCTTTTGATACAGGGTTTCATTAGACCAGTCTGGACTCAAACTCAAGATCCTCTTGCTTTAGCCTCCCTGAGTACTAGTGTAACAGACATGCCCCACCATGCCTGGCTTTACACTTGTTATTTTTGTAGGAAGAATTTGTCTCTCCATCTGTGATTCTCTCAATTCATCAAAATAATAATTTATTGTTGGTCCTATAATACACACAGATAAGGAAACTAAGGAGTACATGTGTAAATATTCATCTATCTAAAGATAACAAAGCTAATGAATAGAAGAGCTTGCAAATCAAGCAGTTTGCCCACTGGGTCTTTATGCACCATTAATAGATATGAATATGAAAATGCTTAAAGTATTGCATAATTACTATAATAGAAGCAGGTTCAGATGCTATGGGAGCATGAAGGAAAGAATCTAATTTTGGAATTTGAGTCTAGTAGTCAGGATATAAAGGTAAAGCCATCAGAGCAGGTATCATTATAAAAAGACCATGTTTTAAGGATTTAAATACCAGTACATTTTCCAAATATTTTAGACAGTTAAGTACACTAAACGCTTTGTTGTGCATTTCTCACTAATTTAACTTACTCTCTTGCCGGTACCCCTTCCCACTGGAGGATGTGCCTCAGCAGCTTGACGAATTGTACAAACCATTAGCTCTATAAGAGCACTCTCTTGACGGTCAGACATTGCTAAAGTGAAACAAAATGCACGAGTATGAGTAAAAAGTTTCACAATAACCAGACACTAAAAACCACAAAATGATTTCTTTAAAAATGACAAACACTTTATTACTGGTTATTATGAAGACTATAGTTAGGGTCTGTATTTTGCTATTTTTCCTTTTCTTAAGTAATATATACTTACTGTCTTAAAAGAACAAGAAAGAAGTATGTAAAGTAAGCATTCTGGACTCTTTCAATGTCTGATCTCTTCTAATGCCCTACTTCTGAGTAATGTCAAAATTTCCTTCTACATCATTTCAAAGCACATATAATAGGGGTTTCCATATTTTTGCTTTTTATCTTTTTTTTTTTTTGCAGTATTGGGGTTTGAACTCAGGGCCTATACCTTGAGCCACTCCATCAGCCCTTTTTTTGTGATGGGTTTTTTCAAGATAGGGTCTCTTTAACTTTTTGCCTGGGCTGGCTCTGAACTATGATCCTCCTGATCTCTGCCTCCTGAGTAACTAGGATTATATGCATGAGCCACTGGTGCCTGGCTTATTTTTGCTTTTTAACAAAAAATTAACAATATATTTTAATGTCTTTCAAGTCAAAAGACACAAGAGTACCTTAATTATAAATTATCACAAAATTTATACCACAGTTTAGTCAATCTTCTCCTGCTCATAGTCAAATTATTTCCAGGTTTTAACACTATGAGAAATGCTACAATAAGCATCATTAATACATATCTATTTATGTAACTAATAAGTTATACAGAATAAATTTTCCCAAGTGTGGGAATGATGGGTCAAAGACAGTAACAAACCATAAGGTTAATCACAATTGACACTCCCAGCTGCAATAATATTCGGATCCTCATATCCAGCACTAGACGTGATAAGTTCCTCTAGTTTATGTCGGTCCAAGGGTGTTATTTTGTTCCAACTAATAATTAGTGAGTGTATGTACTTTTTTCTAAGACCTTCCTCCCTCCCTGCCTTTCTTTTTGAGATGAGATTTTACTATGTTGCCAAGACTGGTCTTGAACTAAGGGACTTATGTGATCCTTTCACCTCAGTTTCCTGTCTGAGTAACTGGGATGGACTATGGTATATATATATTTTTTGGGTGTTGGTGTTTAAACTCAGGGCCTACCACTTCAGCGATGCTCCCAGTCCTTTTTTTTCTTTTCTTATGTTTCAAATAGGGTCTCATGCTTTTTGTCAGGGTCCAGCTTCAGACTGTGATCCTCCTACTTATGCCTCCCAGGTAGCCAGGATTATAAAGAGCAGTACCATGATCAGCTTGTTTGCTAAAATGGGCTCTCACTAACTTTTTGCCTGAGCTGACCTCCAACTGAGATACTTCTAATCTCTACCTCCCAAGTAGATTATAGGCTATGCCATTACAACAGGGCCTTTTCTACCTTTCGAATCCATTTATGGAGGCTCTTCTATGTCATTAGTAGTATGAGGAGTAACCTTTGTCTTTGGAATGATGCGAAACTTTTCTCCCAGTTTGTCATTTATTGCCTGACTCTTCAAGGTTTTTTTTTGCAAAAAAAAGACTTTGTTAGCAGGGCACGTTGGCATATAACTGTAATCCCAACACTCAGAAGGCAGAAGCAGGAAGATCTAGAGTTTGAGGCTAGCCTGACTTACATAACAAGACACTATCTCAAAACAAATAAACAACAAACAAAAAAATCCCCAAAAGAAAGATTATTAACTTTTATTTTACGTTTCTTCTTTTCTTTTTTTTTCCCCCAGTACTGGGGTTTGAATTCAGGGCCCCACGCTTACTATATAGGTGCTATACCATTTGAGCACTCCACCAGTCCCCAGCTTGTAAGTTTCTTACACTGCCTTCAAGATCTCTCTGTCCTTACCTGAGAGGTGGTGGCTCACACTTCTAATCCTAGCTACTCAGGAGGCAGGGATCAGGAGGACTGAAGTTCAAAACCAGCTCTGGGCAAATAATTTATGAAACCCCACCTCAAAAATATCCAACACAAATTAGAGCTGGTGGAGTAGCCCAAGTGGTAGAGTGCCTGACTAGCAAACATGAGACCCTGTGTTCAAGCCATAGTACAGAAAAAAAGCAAACAAACCTCTCTGTTCCAGAGAAATGTATTCTTTGTTTTCTTCTAACTTCTTTCTTTTTCTCCTGCCCTTCTTCCTTCTTTTCACTCATCTCTTTTGCTTGTTTACTTTTATATCTTTAACCTGTTTGGGATTTACTTAGGCTCATAGTAGGAAATAAGAAACTAAATACACAGAACTAAATAAACAGCTGACTGTGCCTCTACTACTGTAAAATAAACCAGAGTTCCCTAATGAATTTAAATGTCATTTTAAAAACATGTTTTAGGAGATGACTGAGCAGCTCAAGCGGTGGAACACCTAGCAAGTGTGAGGCCCTGAGTTCAAACCAAAATACTGTCAAAAAAAAAAAAAAAAAAAGCATACATATACACACGTTTTAGGCTTATTTATACTTAGATTTTTATTCTAAATATTCTTTATTTAGTTTTGCTAATAATATACTTTCATATTTTTATGACAGTTTTACTGTTTTGAGTACAGAAGATTAATAATCTAATTTGTTAAAATTTAACACACTATGCAACTTAATTCAACTAATTTGAATAAACAAGTTTCCTCATCTAGTCTTTCTTGGAATTTTTCATAATTTCTATAATGCTAATAGCAAAAAAATTTATATCTTCATTTTACTGATGGGGAAAATGAGCCACAGAGAGATTAGTTTTGCAAAGTGCTCAGCTAGTTGTAGAGACAATATATAAACCAAGGTAGGCTAACTCTATAGCCAGTGCTCTTATGCACTAAGTTATACTGCCTATTTATTTGGCAGTACTGGGGCTTGAGTTCAGGGCCTGATGCTTGCTAGGCAGGCGCCCTACCACTTGAGCCACTCTGTCAGCCCTACACTGCCTTTTTATTTATTTATTTTATTCATATGTGCATACAATGTTTGGGTCATTTCTCCCCCCTTCTCCTTGGCCCCTTTCTACCCCTACCCCCTCGCTGCCAGGCAGAAACTATTTTGCCCTTATCTCTAATTTTGTTGAAGAGAGAGTATAAGCAATAATAGGAAGGACCAAGCGTTTTTGCTAGTTGAGGTAAGGATAGATACATAGGGAGTTGACTCACATTGCTTTCCTGTACATATGTGTTACATTCTAAATTAATTCTTCTCGAACTAACTTTTCTCTAGTTCCTACTCCCCTTCTCCTATTGGCCTCTGTCGCTTTAAAGTTTCTGCATTAGTTCCTTTTCATTGAGGACATCAAATGCTACCGTGTTTTTTTTGGGTTTCTTGACTATCCTCATACCTCCCTTGTGTGCTCTCGCCTTATCACGCCTACACTGCCTTTTTAAGCATACACCTTAAAGTTCTACATAAACTTTAAAATCTTTTTGCTTAATTCCTATTCCAACCTCACCTCCCAGAACACTCTTAAACCCACTGGAATTATGAATGGCATTATAAGAGAATTATATATTACATGAGAGAAACTGACATTTTTTATAATCTTTTCAGCTAGGAACATAACATAGCACTTCATTTTTGAGATTTATTTTATGTCATTTAACAAAACATGGTTTTCTTCGCATAAGTTAGGTATTTTCCTTTGAATTTGTTATTATACTTTATTTTTGTGCAGCCCAGATTCGCTACAAATTTATAATCCTCCTGCATCAGCCTCCCTAGTGCTAGGATTACAGTCACCACTACATTCAGTTCCTAGGTGTTTTTAAGCATAGATTTTGAGGATATTTTGGGTTTTTTTTCCTTCTTTCTTTTTTCAACAAGTAATTATTCATGTTGAAGATGAATAGATATACAGATTACAGATAACCTGGTAAAACTTAAAAGGAAAAATACAATGAAAACATGAAAGTTTCAAAGTTTATTTTAAAATAAACTGGGATAAAAGTAATAAAAACACAAACAAAGACATAGTAACATCATGTTCTTTAGTATGTGCCAAAATTACCCTGTACAGAATTATGTATGTACATCTTAATTCACTAATTTTTGGTTTTAACATTTTCTTTTCTTTTTCTTTTTTGGGAATACTGGGGGATGAAACTTGGGGCCCTGCTTGCTATGCAAGTTTTCTACCACTTGAGCCACATCCCCAGACCTAAACTCCCCCACCCGTTTTTTCTTTTTGTAGTACTAAGGGATGAATTTGGGGCCTTGTGTTTGGTAGGTAGGTGCTCTATTACTTGAGCCACTCTGCCAGCCCGCCCCTAGCTCTTTCAGTTTTGTTTTCAGATAGGGTCTCACTAACTTTTGCCTAGACTGCCCTGGAATCAGGATTCCTATCCCCACCTGGGATTCGAAGTATACATTCCCAAGGCCTACCTTAACATTTTCATTGTCTTAGAAAAAAAGATGAACTTCAGCTTGTCATAGGACAAACACATGAAGTAACTTAAACTTTTGCATCTGTGCTAGATGGAAATGGCTAATGGCTAATACAAAAGAGCTTTCCACTCAACAGTAATTAAGTTTTTAATTATTCCAATTCTAGAATTTTATAAGTTTTCTCATTTGACTTGGAATAGAATAACTATGAAGTCATCTGTGAGCTAATGCATTTTCTTTTATTTAAGAAGAATATCTGACCTTTATGTAAAGTCAAGAGAGAAAGGGTATAATTTATCTCAAGAACAGAAATATTCTTCAGTCTATAGTACAATCTACACTAGTGTGGCGTATGACTCAACTTTATACACTGTGCAATGCAATCTATCTTGTTAATTTACTTTATCATCTGAAATCATCCTTTCAGAAAGTTTCCTCTGAATGGGGAAATAGGGTAAACTCAAAGTGGATGAGATTTAATTGGAATTCCCTTTAGGATATAACAACAAAACCACAAAATAATGGGAAGAAAGAAAGTCTTAAGCCACAGACAAGAACCAAACAACTACACTGATTAATAAACGGGAAGATATTCACACTGTGAATTATCAGGTAGTCACATGCTTTCTAATTCTTGGGAACCTTCTTCACACATCATCTCCATTTCCTCAGTACTGATTTTAGGCATATCAATTTGAACTCTGGGTACTTTCTTTACATCACTGAAAATAAATGCTTTAAGGTCACCAATGACAAAAGCCATTTGTCAAGATGCAGTTTACATTCCTTTGGGAGAAGACAGGCCAAAGTCAAGTAAGTAGAGAAAGTAACTGTAGGGGAGGGGAAGGGTAAAGGGAATGGTGGAGGGGGTGAATTCAAGTATGATATATTTGATATATTGTAAGAACTTTTGTAAATGCCACAACATACTCCCAAGCCAATCCTTGGGGGACAGGAGGGAAGAGAAGGGAGGAAAGAGAAGAGAGATGAGAAGAAGGGAGGAGAAGAGGAAAAAAATTCAGGATGCACTTTTTTACATTAAGTTTATCACTACTGTGTCTCAAATCAGCATAAAGTAAACAATTATGAATACTTCATGACACAGATTTTTAAAAACATTTGTGCAACATGGAAGCATGCTATAAACCATCAAGACATCTTTACTGGTTCAAGAAATGAACTGTTCTCTTGACAAAAATGACACATGGAATGAGAGGATGGCATGATTATTAATGGAAACATAACAATATTTAAACCAACTTGTTAAAATACTATACCTTCCTCTCCTTGAACAGGTTCTTCTAACAGCAACTCTGTCATACATTCCCAGTCTTTCAACAATTCTTGAGAGCTCTCCCACAAACTGTCCACCAAGTAGGCTGCATGTTCGTGTAACTAAAATTAACAAATTGAGCGTGACTAAAGAACATTTAATAAACTGCTAGCAACACTATAAGTTAATAAACCGTTTTCTTCACAATTAAAATGACTTGGTCTAAATGGTTCTGAGAATCATTTAGAGGATAATAATGTGGACACAATACGTAGGATCAATTAAGTTTTTTAACATTTACAGTAGTAAGACTAAAAATTTCCTAGTCCAATAACATAATTTATTGATGAGGAAACAGAGTAGATAGCTATTTAGTAGAATTCCTAAAATTATAAGGTGAATCTAGGTTACTTTTTAACTTTTCACTATTTCTGACTGTCTCTTTTTAACTTTCTTTCTTTCTTTTTGAAGAAAATGAATCATTTTCTCCTAGAATTCCATCGGAAATTTTGCTATTGGCCTTACTCTAATGGTCAATGTCTTGTTCAAGGTAAAAGACATACATTACTCCTCTCCTCTTTTCTATTCTCATTTCCATTTTACTCAATTCATTCCTCATGTCACCCTCATTTTCTTTTGGCCATTACTCTCTTGACAATTTTCTTTAGAACCCATATTCCCACAGTAAACAAACACACTTAGGCTCCTCGTCAAACACATCACACCAATCTCTCTTCTACTTGTTAGTCTTTACACCTTGGAAACTACTATACTATTGCAAAAAGCTCTTCAGGAAAGGTAAGTGAAAAATGTATTGACATTGTTTCAGTTTCTGATACTCATAATTATTTTCCATTCTTGTATAAAAGATGTTCTACCTTTAAAGTTCATGACATCCTGGCTAAACCACTCTGTGATTAATATTTTTCAAACTCTTCAGATGGAAGCCCATTTTAGGGTTCTTAAATTGATTTAATGCTTTGGGACCAAAGGGTTAAAAAAATGAAACAGAGTAGAAAGCACTGTCTTTGCTGTGCTGGGGAATGAAACCCACGACCTCATGCATGCCAGACAAATGTTCCACCATTAAGTTGTACCTTCAGTCCTTAACTGTCATTTGTTAGATGTCCTTGTAATGATAGTCAAAAAAGTATGAAGTACCTTGTCATATCTACTGGTTGTCTACTGTTATCTTGGAACAATTGATACTTGAGCTGGTTTTCTTTCTTACAACTCTATCATAGTCTTAACTTTTGATGACCTTCATTGATCTTAATTTAGTATTTCATTTCTATGGCACTTTAAACCTTACACCCTGGCTCCAGAAATGCCTCAGGAAAATCAAACGCATACAATCTTCTCATAAATTATGTCAGAGGCAGAGGAGGTAATACCAATTAGCATCTTTGCTTGGAAAGAACATGGGCAATGGTTTGCCACACAGTATTTTCAAACTTTCCGAAGTTATATATACCAAGAAACTATTCTTGGACCATCAGTAACATCATTCCAACAGTGACAGCTACTTGGTGTCAAACCAACTTGGTGTCAAAGATGAAAATGGAAACAGAAAAAAAGACAACAAATTGGTTTTCAAATTGTTGGTATCAAAACCTATTCTGAAATAAAGAGGTATTGTATAATGGGTATGGTGTCAGTTTGGGAAGACTGAAAAAGTTCTGGAGATGGATGGCACTGCTGATTATACAACATCAAGAAGTTCCATTTTGTTATGCATATTTTAACAGGATAGAAAAAGCGTGAATAAATATGCTTTTATGCTTGACCATGTAAAGGTATATCTCTGTGGAATAGGTCTGTATACTTTTAATTCAATGTATTTGCTGGGTTATACCCTTTTATAAATGAACATATCCCCTTTTTGTCCCTCTTAAAGCATTCAGCTTGAATTATGATATTGTTTCCCCTGAATTCTTTTCTTTCTTCTTTGTTTTTTGCAGTACTGGGTTGAACTCAGGGTCTACATTTTGAGCCACTCCACCAGCCCCTTTTCTGTGATAGTGTTTTTCAAGATAGAATCTTTTGAAACTTTCTACCGCTGGTGAACTTCCTGATCTCTGCCTCTTAAGTATCTAGGATTACAGGTGTGAGCCACCCTGTGTCAGCCCCTCAGTCTGCATTTCTTTCTGTAAGCATCTGTAACATCCTGCTTCAATCTAGCCCTTTATTTGTAAATTTCTTGTGTTATTTTGACAAAGATGAGTTTTTAAAACAGCATATAGATGTGTTTTTAATTCTTTTTTACAACTTCAAATGATAATTGTCTTTTAACAGAGCATATTAATCCTTTACATGTACTGAGATTACTGATGCTGGAAATATTCCTAGCATTTTATTCTCGTGCTCCACTTGGGATATTGGAGTGTTCTATCTGTCTCTTCATTCATTTTATTTTCTGATTCATACTTTATAATTATAAAGGTCATTACACATTTCTTTACTTCTCTCATTTAATCTGACATTATATCCTACTTTTAAATTTTTACTGTATCCATTTTGTTTTGTTAAAAAACATCTTCAAGCAATATTTTGCATGATAGAGTCATAGGCAGTAAAGTTTGAGAATATTTGTATTACCCTGTAATTAGATTCCTCTACTTCTTTCTCTCTGTTCGCTTTACAGAGGCTCCTGGATGGGATAATACAATGACACTTTCAATTTATACTTTGTCTTTCATCTTTCTCATACTTTACTTTCTTTACATGCTTTCTGGAGCAAGTTCATTCAATCTTACAGCAAATTCCTGGTTGTACATTAAGACATTATATTTTCCTCCTTAAATTCTGGAAGCCTATTT